ATACCTTGCCTGCACATGCCTATAACTTAAACACCTGCAATATGGATACACAGTCCTTCTAAGGTGCCATACTTGGCTTGCCATCACATCAATTTGAATGTGATGGCCATCACATCAATTAAGCATATTTTTGTTAGGGCCTTCCAAAGCTCCTCAAAATTGTCGTTAGGCCTAATTAGCTTTCACAATATTATAGCAACTGCAGATTTTGCCCCCTTGTAGATCTTTGCCTTTTCCAGCTGATTTATAAATGATAGCCAGGGATCCTGATTTTCTGTTTAAAACACCAAATTCTCTGATAAAAATAAAAAATTCTCAGATTTAAAAACCTCCAAGTCTGTGTTTTCCCACGATTAAAATGAAATGCCACCATATGTATAGGTATCAGTTGAACATAATGTTTTATTGATATATTTACAATTTTAAAGCAATTTGGAAGTCCACCAGTGCCTCTAACCAGAAGTTGATTGCAGCACAGCATTTATTGACCTACCTGCTGCATATGATACCATCCAACACTGCATCATGATCTACAAATTGTACCTCATGACGGACAACTGAGACCTAAACCAGACCATTCATAGCATACTGGAGAACAGGTGCTTCTGTGTGGAACTTAATGGCCAGAAAAGTAGATGGTGCTCCCAAAAGAACGGTTTACTGCAATGCAGTATGCACACCCCTTTTATTCAATATCTACATTAATGATCAGTCACATCCTGCTGAATGTCAGCATTTTACCTAGGGTTGTTGGTTGTAGCTGTGTTGGTCTAAGGACATAGGCAGAAAAGGTTCTTTGGATAAATGCGATCTCTTTTATTAGCCCAACTAAATAGTTGAAAAAATTGTTCTTTGCAAGCTTTTGGGCACAAACACCCTTCTTCAGGCATACTCTCCCTATGCCTGAAGAAGGGTGTTTGTGCCAACTATTTATTTGGTCTAATAAAAGATACATAATTTCATCTATGCCTATAATCTTTGCATTATGACACAACAGAAGAATGCTGAGGACACAGAGAAGATCCTGGAGAGGGCACTGAATGAGATGTCAGATTACCACCTAAATAATTATCTCAAACCCAACCCTAGCAAAACTCAAATCTGTGCTTCTTATCTGAGAAACCTGGATGCAAAATGACACCTGAATGTCACCTGGGGTGGCAACAGTCTCGGACATCAGAAATACCCAGTTTACGTAGGGGTAACACTGGACCATACACTTAATTACAAAAGGCACATTAAATACCAAAGCCAAGGCCAACAAATGAAACAAAATCCTCCATAAGTTTGCAAATTCTGAGTAGAGAGCACATCCACCCTTCCCACTACTGACTTAGCACTTTGTTTTTCAGTGGCTGAATATGCCTGTACCACCTGGGGATGCTCAAGTCAAAGTAAACATATTGACACCACCTGAAATGATATATGCAGAATTATAACACACTGCCTAAAATCCACCCCTGTTCCCTGCCTATGTGCAGTCTCGGGGGGGGGGGGGCTCATGGCAGAGCTCCCCATGCAGCATGGGGCAGTGGGGAGCAGCAGGGATTGCCCCTCTGCCTGGCAGCAGCTAGTGAGTAGGGGCTTTGTTTTTTTTAAAGAACCAGGAGCTGGGGCTGTGGGGGGAAGCCATTGATGGGGCTGGGATAGCAGGGGTCAGGGGGCACTCAGGGGGGCTGG